TAGGAACTGTCGCTCATGCAAACAAAATAAATATTCCGTAACGCTGATGTGAATCAAAATGAATAAGGCCATATTAATCTATTCTGGAAATACGCGTACGCTTAACAAGTGAAAAATATAACAAGATACACTTTAGTCTTATGTGTTACAAGGTAGATGTTCTTCCTGCAGTCTTTCATTAACTATAATCTTTAACTCATTACTAATCAATCACTTAAATATTTTTAAATATTGTATAAAATTTATGTACTGTGTTCAAATTATAACTTTGTATTAACCAAGGAAACTCTTGGATTGATCAATTAATTGGATAGTATTTTACGGCAGTTTTCCGTGATTAAACTACCACAGTAACAGATACAATTAATATTACTCATTTTCAGTAGGCATCATCGGTATACAATTAAAATATCTTACGAAGACAACAGCATATCTTAGAAATAATAGACTAACTAATTTATATACGTCCTACTCTTTCACTGAATATGTATATTTTGTATACCTGTATTGACAGGCTCTTTCTGCTTTGGTGTGATATCGTCAGGTAACGTCGATTTTACTTGTTTGTTAGAAGATGAAGATGATATCCGATTTTCTAGTTTTAAAAGTAATCAGAAGTTTAATACATGTGATTATTATATGCGATACAATTAACGTCAAACTGTTTTAAATTCGAGCAACGGGACGCTAATATACAGTAGTTATAGCAAATTGTATAATAGATTGATAAATTGAGAATTAAATATACTTGATAACTGCAACAGTTACTATTAATGAATATAAATAAAATACATTTAGAAAAAATATCATCATGTAAATAACATCTGCCAGAGTATTTTTATGACGCTTATATAGTTACTTTTCACTTGTCGAACTTGGCTATCTGTTGTATGAGTGGAACTTGCAGCTCTTTCTAGATTGACATAAAGTAGGATATATATTANAATACTTTTATTTAAAAGACGATCTTTGAGAATAGTCTAATGATGCTTTAAATATTACTTTTAGAAGCTTTAGTTCGACTACTAGTTGCTTGATTTCGACTTGTTAAACTATCTA